GTCTGTCTCTCTCTCTCTCTCTCTCTCTCTCTCTCTCTCTCTCTCTCTACGAAGACACACAAACACACGTACACCAACGCGCGCACACACACACACACACACACACACACACACACACACACACACGGGAAAAAAGGAGGAAAGAAGAGTTAGACATGCAGAAGCAACCCAGTGGCAGGCAGGCAAACACACAGCGGAGTCGGGTTCGAACCATGGGGGCCGAAGTCCCCGGCGACGTAGAAAGACGACAGGATGAAGCGTACGATTTGGCTGGGTGGGTCCGTGAGAGCGCGTGGGTGAGAACGGGTCAGAGCGGGCGAGGGTGGCATGATAGTGGGGGAGAGTTGGGAGTTTTTGATGCATGGAGTTGGTAGACTACTTACTACGGTAGGTTGCTTCAGTGCTGGAATGGAACCCAGGCTGAAGTTCAGTTCAGCGAGCAGATGATGACTCGGCTACGGTTATCTGCCAGCAGGAGGCATGCAAGCACACCCTGGCGGCAGGTCATTTCCCCTCGCCTCACCTCCCCTCCCCCCCCTCTCCCCTCCCCTCCCCCCCCCTCCCCCCCCCCCCCCCCCCCCCCCCCCCCCCCCCCCCACACCCCCCCCCCCCCCCTCTCTCTCTCTCTCTCTCTCTCTCTCTCTCTCTCTCTCTCTCTCTCTCCCCCCCCCCCCACGTCACCCCCCAGGCCTCCCCCCCGCTCGCGAATGCATGCACCGCCCTGCCTAAGCCCTGCACGCCACAGACGGGCGCCAAACCTCCGCCAGACAAGTTTTGAGATCCCATATGCTTCTGCTCTTAACGGCCAAAATGCTCAGAAACGACGTGGGCGAGGCGACGGCCTTGAGATATCATCTTCATCTTCAAATGGACCGGCCGCAGGTAAAGTCGAAGTTAATTTACTCATCTGAGTTGATTGGCATTCAAACTGAGGTCCGTATTTCAACAGCTAGGGGCTGTACCAACTGAGATAGGCCCGTTCGTGTGGTAGAGTTTTTTTTTCGCTTTTCTTTTTTTGGAAAGCAGAATTTGTTATAAAATGACATTCATCCAGCGCTTGGTCCCGCCAATTGGGATTAAACCACCCTTACTTTTCCCCGCTTGAAAAACAAATCCCGGCTGGGGGCCCCACCAGTACATGGGCACCTGGGCCGCGGGTCTGATATCTCAAATTCTGGAGGCGCGAAACGAAAACGGGGCCTCCCATCGAACTTATAAACGGCGGGCCAATCGTTTGACGTTTCGGCCTTGTTCGTTTTCTTGTGGCGACAAGTTTCGGACTGCAAGGCTGGGGCCGTGTACTCGTGGTTTAACACGGGAGGTGGGCGGGATCGGCACTACCGGGGAAAACGGCTGGTGGCGCCAGCCAAAAAGAGGCCTGCGCCCCTTCGTGTTTTCCGGCGCGCAGGACCCTTCTTTTTTCTTTTTTCTTTTTTAAATCCATTATAACATAGAATTGAGGCCGGGGATTTCACAGTGCAACCGGGAGTACTTGGCAGCATCAGCCAGCTTAGCTTACAGGCTTGTGCCTGCAGAAAGTCCCTAACTACGACTTTCCAAGTTTCTAACTTTCCAAGTTTCCCTAAATCCGAAATTACCAGGGCATCCTTGCAATGGCAGATTGCCCACCGCTGCTTGCCAACAAACGACTGGCTGACTGACCCTACGGATTGAGAACAAAAGGGTCTGCTGCTCCCGTGGTGTCACAGATGCCAGAGCCTCTTTCCGTTCCACAAGAAGGTGGAAACGCTCGAACACATCTTCATGCAATGCCCAATCGCTCAATTCATATGGAGATGGTGGGATCGCGTTTGGAGAAAGATGGAATCCGCAACTCCTTGGCCTTGGTCCTGGCAAGCCATATTGGCTGGTCACTGGACACAGACAGAAGCAGTCATGCCCTTCATAAGAAATATGTTCAGACTCGGAAGGAGAGCAGTGATATGGGCACTCTGGTGGCAGCGATGCATGCTTACCATGGAAAAGGTGAGAATAGAGGAACCAGAAATCACCGAACAGATTAAGCAGCAGGTACACTTCGAACTTACACAAAGATGGCTAGACACAAAAGCACAGCTAGACCATTTTAAACAAGTAGGAGATGTCGGACGACGGATCACAGCGTTTTGCACGGACTGGGTGGGAGGGGAGAGAGCAGGATGGATTGCCAGAGTAGAATGGAGTGGAGACAAGGAAGAGGGACAGAGGGATTTAGAAGAGATGAGGGACTACCGCTTAAGCTTCAATGACTGGACTAACATTGAACCCTCATTTCCACTTCCCCCCCCACGGATTTTCCAGACCCTTTCCCACCCCACGCCCTCTCCTTGACTGAAACCCTGTTTTGAATGAGGTAACCTTGTCCTCTACACACTCTTACTCATATATAAGGAACTCCTCCTTGGAGCCCCCCGGGGAGGCTGTTTCTGCCCTTAAAATATTCATATTTCTTCTTTCTTCCATATTTATTTTCCTCAGTTGAACTTCTGAAGCACTCTGAGCAAGAGAGTATGGGAAACCAGTAGGGGGGGGGAACTAGTAGTAGCAGTGGGTATCTAGCACCGGTTGCAGGGTGAAGAGGTTCCTCCCTCCTTCCAGTATCTTGCTCAGTCAATCCCCTGGATCCCAGGACAATCAATGCTGGCAAGACCTTCCTGAACATCTACTCCTTTTGTTGTAACTCAATTCCAATTTGTACAAGGGACGCTGGACCCGTTTTCTAGCAGGTGATGCTCCCCATAGACTGGAGCCTCTCCCCAGGTGCTAGTGGTGTCTGCTCTTATCAGCACCACTAACACTGGTGGGGGTATGTTTCCCCCCCCCCAAAGAAAAACGGGTGTTACTACAGTACTTTTTTTTTTTTTGAAAAGCACCCCTGCAGTGCCAGTGGTGCTGACAAGGCCAGACACCACTAGCACCCGGGGGGAGGCTCCATCTATTGGTGGGGAGCATCACCTGCTGGAAAACAGGTCCAGCGTCTCATTACAGAATGCATTGCAAAATGAATACAGACTGGATCAAGAGAACTTGACTGTGAAACCTGCCAGCATTGATTGCTCTGGCCACCAGAAGATTGACTGTGCAGGTTGTTAAGGAAGGGGAGAAAACCTTTTCGCCCTAGCATCAGGCGCCAAATATCTACTTGCTAAGAAACTAGTCCCTCCCTCCAACTTTTGTTTTTTTTAAACCCTCTCTTTTTCTTTGAGATCGTAAACACGCCTGCCAACACTGATTACCCTGAGATCCTCACGGGATTAATTGTGCAGGAGTGAGCGGGCGCCTGACAACCATCATTAATTAGCTCTCCTTTGCATGCTAGGGTACCAAACTTCCGGTCGTGTCTTCAGTGGACGGGCCTGATGTACAAGGGGGCGGGGAGGTGGGTTCTGCTCCCAGGGGGCGACTGGGGCAGACTACCAGTCCTCCCTATACCCTTATCGATCATGATCGGCTCACCAAAGTCACAGCTGGAGGGGTTACCCTGTGTCGCGGCCATACGAGCTCGGTTCAATCAAGATATTGTTGGGTAAGGGGAATAGGTCAGGGAATTCAGAGGCGAGGGGGAAGTGGGATGTTGCTAGGAATTGCAGTCCAATCATGGAAGGTCAATCGGTAGCTTTTCTGCAATGTGTCCAACCGATCGTTGTCGTCCAGGTGTAAGCCATCCCATTGAATCTTTGTTATCCATCCTCCCTGTTCTCCCCCCAACCAGTCCATGCAGAATTCATGTAGTTTTTGAATGATGTCTGATCTTTTGGTGAGAGTGTTCATCGCTTGCACAATTTTTTTCCACTGGGCTCTGATTGCTGTTTCCATCATGTCTTTAATCATGTCCATCATTTGACCTCTTTCCACATGGGCACCTTCAAGTGTTAGAGTGCATCTGCGACACCATATGACCCGTAGTACCGCATCCCTCCCGACCCTAAATAAGTTGGCCGTAAAGGTCGAGGTTTGAGCGGTCCAATGCGCAGTTAGCAGGGCTCTCTATTCCCACGGCCAATCCCTATCTGTGCCTAACTGGTTCCAAATCCGAACCCACCCACGTCACACCAGGATTGAAGTTGGGCACTGCAAAAAAAATGTTCTATTGTCTCATTAGCCTTTCGAGAATGAAAACCTTCTTTGCACGCCAGACACCAGGGGAGGGCCAAGCCATGCTACTCCAGGTGGGTATGGTCAATGAGCCATGCGTTTGTGGGTAAGCAGCGATGGGTGATCTGCCATTGGAGTGAGGTGGTTTTTTTCGGTTTGGACTTTATCCCTTTAAACCATTTAATGGGTGTCAGGGCATTCAATGAGACATTTAAGTGTCTTGCCCAACGATCCACTATACGGTCCTTCAGGTTGAGTCTAGTCCTAAGCATGCGGTAGGAAGCCTTAACCCTCAGTGAGTGAAGATAACGATATTTTGGTTTGCAATTCCTCATTGGAACCCTCCATCTCCATGGGGAGGTCCTGGATTAGCACCTCCGGCTTGAATGCCACCCAAAAGTCCCCTTCTCGTAGGACCCTCTCTCTATAAATTATTCCAGCATCAATCCAGAGGAGTTCATCCGACACTCCCCTTATCAATCGGTTTTGCAGTGTTCGATAAAAAAAGTTTACCAGCACCTCCCCTGGTCTGTCTGTGATTACTTGCCCCACCCGCGTTGCATCCCCGCTTAAAACAACCCAGTCACCTTCCTCCACTGTTGGCCCTCGCCGAAGGGTCCGCAACCATGCAAGAGGGAGGGCAAAGAGGATGTGGTCCAACCTCTCACCTATTCTTTGGCAGTGGGGGAGCTTTGTTCTCAGGTGCTCCTCTGAGACCCAGTTGACCCTGGTTTGATCCCATAGATCCCCAACCCTCGTGATCCCGTTTCTTACCCATCCCTTCCACGGACGGCTCGAGATGAGAAAAACCTGTCCCTGTTGATTTGTTACCCATCGATTTCCAAATAAGGGTTGGCGAAAAACTTCCTCCCAACGTTCAGGGAATAGCCTATCCGGAAGCGGGAGCCTCCTCCAAAAAAACCGTCTTTTCGCAGGTCTTTGCGAGCTGCGGCCCGATCTGAGTGTGGTTGTGGCCGGGTGGGGGGTCTGGGGATGGCCCAGAAGACATCGTTTAACCAAGCTATAGGGTGTACAGTAGGGTCAGTCTCTAGTGCCAGTCTCGAGAGTTGTTGCCAGGCTAGGGGCTCCCATGTAAGTCTGGGGGTGCAAACAAGCCGCTTCAACCATTGGAGTTGAAGGGCGGTCGTTTGGGTGGTCGGGTCGAGTATACCTAGACCACCTTGTGACCTTGGCTGCACTACCGCATCCCAGGCTACCCGACGGATTGTATGATGAGCTTCGTGATTGCGTCTTCATAAAAAGGTTGCCACTTGCTGTTTCAGGGCCTTTGAAGCCGCTCTGGTCAAATGTCAGATTGCCGATTTATACCAGAGTGTCGCCAAAACCACATCATT